GTTTTTCTCTTGCTCTGAGAACTTTTTTTTAATTTTTTTTTATTAATGTTTTTTATTTCTAGGAGAGAGAGACCGCATGAGCAGGGGAGGGTCAGAGAGAGAGGGAGTCACAGACTCTGAAACAGGCTCCCGGCTCTGAGCTGGCAGTCAGCACAGAGCCTGACGCGGGGCTTGAACCCATGAACAGCGAGATCATGACCTAAGCGAAAGTTGGACGCTAACCGACTAAGCCACCCAGGTGCCCCTGCTCTGAGAACTTTTAAGATCTACTGTCCCAGCAACTTTCAACTGTGCGACACTGAGTTGAATCGTTAATGATAGTCATTGTGCTGTACCTTACATCCCTGTGATTTATTTTATTCGTAACTGGAAATTTGTAGCTCTTGACCCTTTTGCCCACACCTACCCCATAGATGCTCTTAAAAAACAGCTTTGTTGGGGCACCTGGCGGTGAGGGCTCAGTCGGGTGAGCGACTGGCTCTTGATTTCAGCTCAGGTCATGATCCCAGGATCGTGGGATGGAGCCCCATATTGCACTCTGCAATGATGGTGGAGCCTGCTCAAGATTCTCTCTCTTTCCCTCTTCCCCTCTTCCCCCACTCTGTGCATGCTCTCTATAAAATAGGATAGAGTAAAATAAAATAAAAACAGCTTTATTGAGATAAAATTCACACGCCATAAAACTCACTCCTGTAAAGCGCACAGTTCCGTGGCTTATAACCCATTCACAGATTTGGGTAACCGTTCCCAGCGTTAACTCTAGAGCATTCTCGTCACTTGAAACAGAAGCGCTGAGCCCCTTTGTGATCTTCCGATCCCGCCCGCCTGCCCAGCACCTGGCAATCGCCAGTCTTCTGTCTCCAAGAATGTATCTATTCTGGACATGACATAGAAGTGGAATCGTACAAGAGGCGGACTGTTGTGTCTGGCTTCCTTCCCATGGCACGATGTTTTCTCGGTTCATCTGTGTTGTAGCACGGGCTGGACTGGGGTCCTGGCTCATTGCTGAGTGGTGTTCCACTGTGCGGATGTACCACGTTGTGTTTTCCCTTCATCCGTTGAGCATTGGGTATTAACCACCTTTGTTCTGTTATGAAGAACGCGGCTCCATTCAGGTTTTTACATGGACTTGCGTTCTCAGCCCTCCCGGGCATCTACTGGGAGTGAAATCACCGGGTCACGGGGTAGCCTTATGTCTAACATTTTATGTTAGACATTTATGTCTAACACTCTGTCCGAACTGACGGACAGAGTGCCACATGGCTGCACCGTTTTACCTTCTGTCGGGAGTAGATGTGGGTGTGGGGGTGTCTTCTCCCCCTTTGGGGGATCTTTTTGTTGAGTTGTACAGAAAAGGGCACAGATCTGGGGCACCCGGGTGGCTCAGTCGGTTGAGCGTCAAACTTCGGCTCAGGTCATGATCTCGCGGTTCGTGGGTTCGAGCCCCGCGTCGGGCTCTGTGCTGACTGCTCAGAGCCTGGAGCCTGCTTCAGATTCTGTGTCTCCCTCTCTCTCTGACCCTCCCCTGCTCACGCTCTGTCTCTTTCTCTCACTCAAAAATAAATAAACATTAAAAATTTTTAAGAAAAGAGCACACATCTTCAGCTGGATGAGTTTCCACAGCCTGGACAACCTCACGTAACGAGCTCTGAGATGAGAAACAACGTGTCTTTCTTCCCAGGAATGCCCCATGCCCTTCCTGACCTCCACATCCCCACCGGGACCTGCCATCCTGGTTAGAACTCCATAGATTACTACTGATTGGGTTTGTACTTTACATAGGAAATCTTTCGATGGGGTTTTCTTTCGCTCCGCATAATGTTTTCGTGATCCTTCCGTGGACATCAGTAACGTGCTCCCTTTTCACTGCTGTATAGTATTCCATCCTGTGGCTGTGCCCATAGTGGATCCATGTGCTTCTGTCGATGGGGCATCTGTGTTGTGTCCAGTTCGGGGGCGCTGTGAACATTCTAGAATGTACCCCTTGGTCCACATCTGCCCATGTTCATGAGGGTGGGTTTACACAGAGTAACGCCAGGCTCCCTGTGGTGCCGGGTGGAAGTTATCCTGCCCCCCCCCCCGCCGTGGGAGGGTGGCCCGTTGGGCTTGGTGGGGTTCACATGGGTAGTGTTGCCTCCTAGGGGGCGTTTGGTGCATTCGCATAGAGTTTTGGGCGCCTTCCTCAGCACAGTGGCTCTGTAGGCACTGAGTGGGCAGGAACATGGGTGTAGACCAACTGGGTTAATCTGCCTCTTGGGTTGGTGTGCTATGCAGATGCACCCACCTTCTATCTCTCTTTCTGTCTCCACCCCACCTCACTCCTGCTTACACTCCCCCTCCTCTGAACAGCTTTCTGTGCTCAGGCCCCAGGGCTCTCTGGCCAGGCTGTGCCCAGGTCCCCACTGTTCCCGCCGCTCACTCTGATCAGGGGTGGGTCAGGTGCCCACACTGTTGAGCACCCCCCTCAGCCTGGCACTCAGTGTTTATGGGAAACGAACACAACAGACCGGGCGCTCACCTCCTCCTGGCAGAGACGGGCAGTAGATAAGATAAATCACATCTGCGGCATGTCTGATGGGAATCGGCACAGTGAAAGATAGCAAAGCAAGGAGGTGAAAGTGCCGGGGGTGGGGGTGGGGGGTAGGGGTTGCAGTTGTAGACAGGGTCTGGCCGAGTCTCCCTGACCTGGTGACAGTAGAGCAAAGGAGGTAAGGGCAGAGGCAAACCGGACAGGGGGCAGCTCGTGCAAAGGTCCTGGGGGGGGAGGGGCTTCTGCCTGGTGTGTTAGAGCAGAATTGAGGCTAGTGTGGCCAGAGGGGAGTGGATGAGGGACAGAGGGTGGGAGACGATGACAGCGAGGAAGTGGGGGGCAGGGGGCAGATGGTGCAGGGCCTGCTGGGCTGGGTCTTGGGCTTTTACCGACTGAGGCAGGAGCCACAGGAGGCTCTGAGCTGAGGCGGGACGCAGGCCGGCTGGGTTCCGACATGATCCCTTTAGCTGCCGTGTGGGGACGAGGTTGCAGGAGGGCAAGGGCGGGTTCAGGGGGACACAGGGGACGGGAGCGGGGAGGCCACACAGGAAGGCCAAGGGCTGCTGGCCTCGCTGTGGATCTCCATGGGGCAGGCAGATCCCGATGTGCCTGCACCTCCAAGCAGACCCGCCGAGGGCCGGATCAGGCAGGCGCCCAGAGCTGCATCTCCAGCACTCCTCGGTTCATTGCAGTCTGTTGAGTTTTTTTGTTTTTATAATGAACTTTCTATTTTCTTTATTTTTTTAATGTTTAATGTTTTATTTCTTTCTTTTTTTTTTAAATGTTTTTTTTTTTTAATTTATTTCTAGGCGAGAGAGAGAGAGAGAGAGACAGCATGAGCAGGGGAGGGTCAGAGAGAGAGGGAGTCACAGACTGAAACAGGCTCCAGGCTCTGAGCTGGCAGTCAGCACAGACCCCGACGCGGGGCTCGAACCCATGAACTGCAGGATCATGACCTAAGTGAAAGTCGGACGCTTAACCGACTAAGCCACCCAGGTGCCCCTAATGTTTTATTTATTTCTGAGAGAGAGGGAGAGAGAGCATGAGCAGGGGAGGATCAGAGAGAGAGGGAGACACAGAATCTGAAGCAGCTCCAGGCTCTGAGCTGTCAGCACAGAGTCCGACGCGGGGCTCGAACCCACGAACGGTGAGATCATGACCTGAGCGAAGTCGGACGCTTAACTGACTGAGCCACCCAGGTGCCCCTAAACTTTTTAGTTTAGAAGAATTTTAGATTTGCAGAAAAGTTGCAAAAATGGTACAGAGTTTTCATATACCCCACACCTGGTTTTCCCTGATGTTAACATCTTCCGTTACCACGGGATATTTGCACAACCAAGAGACAGACACACTGTGCTGCCTACAGAATTTATTCAGATTTCCCTAGTTTTCCCCTAACGTCCGCTTTCTGTCTAGGATCCTGTCCAGGAAACTTCACTGCATGCACGATGTCTTCTTAGGCTTCTGTTGGATGTGATAGTTTCTCAGACTTTCCTTACATTTAAAAAAAATTTTTTTAATGTTTATTTTTGAGAGAGAGACAGACAGAACACGAGCAAGGGAGGGGCAGAGAGACGGGGAGACACAGAATCTGAAGCAGGCTCCAGGCTCTGAGCTGTCAGCACAGAGCCCGACATGGGGCTCGAACTCACGAGCCTTGGAGCCATGAGATCATGACCTGAGCCAAGTGTTTTGGAGAATGTGCCTCACTCAGGGTTTGTTTGTCTGCTGTTTTTCTCACGACTAGACTGGCACTTAGGGTTCAGGAAAGAGAGACTACAGCAGTAAAGTGCCCTTCTCGCCATGTCGTATTAAGGGTACGTACGGTCAACTTGACTTATCACTGGTGATGTTGACCTTGGTCCTGTGGCTGAGGCCCCAATATTTCTGACTCTATAGTCCTGGCTATAAAAATGGTAAGCATGTGACTAAATGTAGACATATTTGCGTGTATCAGCTCATTTCAATGCTCAAAACTCTACAAAATTCCATGGAGTGGACACAACTTGTGATCCAATTTTACAGAGAAGGAAACTGAGGCAGAAGGAGGTTGTAGTGACGGCCCCAGGGAAACACATCGCTTAAGTGGCAGAGGTGAAATTTGAACACACAAGGTCTGGTTCCAAAGTTCATGCCCCCTTTTTAAATTTTTTTTTACAGTTTATTTTTATTTATTTTGAGAGAGAGCGAGTGAGAGAGGGAGACAGAGAATCCCAAGCAGGCTCCACTCTGTCAGCTTAGCGCCCACCGTGGGGCTCGACCTCACAAACTTCAAGATCGTGACCTGAGCTGAGATCAGGTGTCAGACGCTTAACCAACTGAGCATCCAAGCGCCCCCTGCCCCACCCCCACCCCCCGCTGCCAAAGTCCATGTTCCTAACAGTCATGCGTTCGTTATCCAGTACATACATACACATAAATGGGACCATCACCTCTGTCTCATTTAGTATAAATGGAAACATACGATATGTGAGCTTTTGTGTCTGTACTTTATTTTTAAGCTTTCGCTTTCTTTTTGAGCCCCTTTTTAACTCCTCTGTCACATGTACGAGGATTAGTTAAAAGTCGACAGTATTAATGTGTAAGTCAACTTACTCGGGAACGTCATGCTTTCTGCTTTGGGAATCCCGAGCCTGGCCCCAAGACACCTCACTTCCCAGGTTGCCCATCACCTTAGCCCAGCGTTGGTCTGTATATGGATGGCCAGTCCAGCTGAATCTGTTTGATCTCTGAGGTCAGGGACTAAAATAGAAATCAACGCTCTAGCGATGGAGCAAAACAGAGAGCCCAGGACAAGAGGCAGGTGTGGATGGACGTGCATTTAGTGTGTGGCTGTGGCGGCCACCGGTCAGACCTGTGGGGAAAGGAGAGACTTCGTAAGTGGAACTGATGCAAAAGGGAAAAAAAAGCCATCCGTATGGAAAGAGGTGAACTGGGATCCCTGCCTCACACCGTATACCCCAAGATAGTTTATGGATTTGAAGTCAGATATAAACTTGGAAACGGTGTAGATTTGGGGGGTGAGGATGGATTCTGAAACAAGATACGGAGGGCATTTCTGGGAGAGGAGGTGTTGCCCATCTCTGGCCTCAGTGCCCTTCGCCAGCCCGTTCTGTTTCTTCGAGGCTCTGAGCAGCCCTCCCTGCCTTGCCCTGGGTAGGGTGTGTGAATCCGGGCATCAGCAGCTTGGGGACCATCCGAACACCTTAGAGGAGGAAATGCCTTCACTGTAGAAGGTGCTAGAGCAAGGAAGAGAGCTGGGATAATGGTGTGTTTGCGCATCTGGCCCTCTGCCCTCTGTTAGTGGCTGTGCCCTCCCGCCCCTCTCAGGTTCTGAGGGGCCCTTGATCCCCCTCTTTCCCTTCCACCTCCTGGGCAGTCCATCTGTAGACTCGGCCGCTCCACCGTCATACCAGAATCCAAGCACTTTTCCCTTCTTCCCCCGCCACTGGCACCTCCCCTTTGGGCTCCCTGCCCCTGTCCTCACCTCCTGCAATCCGTTTTCCACTAAGCAGCCAGAAGGATCCTCTGGAAACCCGTCAGATCACAGCCCACTCTGTTGAGATCCCTCCCATCTCTTTTTTTTTTTTTTTTTTTTTTATTTATTTCTAGGAGACAGAGAGAGAGAGAGAGAGAGAGAGAGAGTGAGCAGGGGAGGGTCAGAGAGAGGGAGACACAGACTCTGAAACAGGCTCCAGGCTCTGAGTTGGCTGTCAGCACAGAGCCCGACGCGGGGCTCGAACCCACGAACCGCGAGATCATGACCTAAGCGAAAGTCGGACGCTTAACCGACTAAGCCACCCAGGCGCCCCAAGATCCCTCCCATCTCTTGAGCTCCTTTAGAAAAAAGCCCAGAACCTTGTCTCAGCCTCCCAGATCCGCATCACCTGGCCCCTGACCTTGCCTCTTTGACCCCTCTTTACCTCCTTGCTGTCGCTCAAAGCACCTCTAGCATGTTTCCACCGCAGGGCCTTTGCATCTGCTGTGCCTCCTGCATCGAATGCCTTTCCCCATGTATCCACGGCGCTCCTGGCGCTCCTATCCTTATCTCCTGCACATCTGCTCAAACTCCTCTCGTCCGTGAGCCCGTCCTGACCACTTCAGCTAAAAATGCATCCCCCACCCTCCATCCCCACCCCCTACCCTCGCCACCTTTCGCCTCTGCTCTGACCATTGTGCACTCTGCAGAATGTTCTGTGTCCCGGTTTACCCCTGGCAGCAGCACGTTACTTCCGAGAGAGCAGGGATGCCTCTTGGCCTCGCTACTGACTCCCCAGCGCTGCTGGGAACGACACAACCTTAAATAAAACGGAATCGTTTTTGGCCACTGAGTGGGGAACCGGAGAGGAAGCAGGAAGGCAGTCAGCGACTCCCCCGCAGCCCTCCAGGCAGTGCTCACGGGCAGGTTTAGGGGACAGTGCTGGTTGTAAAACCCAGAAAAGGACGGGGGTTATTAAGAAATGGGGGAAGGGAGGTGCCTGGGTGGCGGTTAAGTGTCCAACTTCAGCTCCGGTCGTGATCTCGCGGTTCGTGGGTTTGAACCCTGCATCGGGTTTGCTGATGTCTGCATAGAGCCCTCTTTGAATCTTGCGTCCCCTTCTTTGTCTGCGCGTCCCCTGCTCACTTTCTCTCTCAAAAATAAATTTTAAAAAAAACATTTAAAAAATTAAAACAAATGTCTTCCGCTGTTTAGATAGGGCGTAACTTGCTCAACCTATTTTCTAGTGATGGCCAGTCGATTGTTTCCAATATCTTGCTGTTACAAACAGAAGTCACCCCCACATGTACAACCTTGCAGGAGTCAGGTTGTTATCTCTAAGATACTTACGCAAAATTGATACATAAGTGAAATTCCCATGAGCGAAACTGCCGAATAAAGAGTAAAAGTGTTATAACACGGTCCATCCTCATTATTTACAAGTGCCATCCTGGTGAGTTAATCTACTTGCTAACCCAAAGCAAGGGGATCCCTGGAACCCCAAAATCAATTGTCCCTGCACTGTCTCGGTCATTTGCAGACACGCACAGAGCGTTGCAGGGGTGGGGGGAAGGGGCGAGTGGAATTTGAGTCTCTCTGTGCCCATTCCTAGCCGAGATGGAAAAAGCGAATGCTCTGCCATCTGGTTGCGGCTCCCATACCACAAACAAGGACCCTTTTCCTGGCGTCATATTTAGGGCCGTGTTTTTCACATCTGTGTGCTTGTCGGTGGTGATGTCACTGTTTAAAAATGCCCCCGAGGCTAGTAGTGCTACAGGGCTGTCCAGGCTCCCAAGAGCAAGAAAGCTGGTTACACACGCAGGATGAACTTCTTTCGGATGGGACTCAGCGCTGTTGGCTGAGTTCATGGTCAACGAATCAGCAGTATACATTATGTACATTATGTACGGTGTGTTTAAACAGAAACACACAGGGGCGCCTGGGTGGCTTAGTCGGTTAAGCGTCCGGCTTTCGCTTAGGTCATGATCTCGCGGTTCGTCGGTTCGAGCCCCGCGTTGGGCTCTGTGCTGACTGCCAGCTCAGAGCCTGGAGCCTGTTTCAGTCTGTGTCTCCCTTTCTCTCTGACCCTCCCCTGCTCATGCTGTCTCTCTCTCTCTCTCCCCTAGAAATAAATAAAAAATATTAAAATAAAAAAATTAAAAAAAAATAAACAGAAACACACATAAAACAAAGTTATGTGTTGATTGGTGATGAAAATGTGACCCAAGGCTCACGGGGACCTAATCCTGTGCCCCCCCGCCCCCCAGGAGCGGAAGTTCAAGATTCCCTAGTTCAGTGATCATAGTAACTTTACAGAACAGAACTACCATGAATAACAAGAATCCATCGTACGGGGGTTTTGGGCTTTTTGATGTTTGCTTTTTGCTCTTTTACACCCTAGCTGTGCTTTACTGGAATATCACTTACGTACAACAAATTACACAGATCTGAAGGACACGCAGCCTGATGGATTTTGACAAACATTACCTGTGTAACCATTATCCAGATCCAGAAGATTCCCCTCCTAAGGGCTCCTGGGTGGCTCAGTCGGTTAAGTGTCCAACTTCAGCTCAGGTCAGGATCTCGTGATCTGTGAGTTCAAACCCTACATCAGGCCCTGTGCTGACAGCTCAGAGCCTGGAGCCTGCTTCAGATTGTTTCCTCTCTTTACCCCTCCCCCGCTCATGTCTCTCTCTCTCTTTCTCTCTCAAAAATAAACATTAACAAAAAAAAAAAAAGAAGATTCCCCTCCCTCTGTCCCTCTGCCTGCCCCCTTGAGGCAACCACACCTCTGATTTCTTCGCACTGGTTTCACTTGCTCTAGAATTTTACATAAGGGAGCTCACACAGGAGCCGGTAGCCTTCTGTGTCTGGCTTCCTTTGCCCACCATGATGCATTTGAAACTCATCTGTGTTGCTGCAAGAATTGGTAGCGTGTTCCCTTTTATTTTTTTCATTATTTATATATTTTTTGAATGTTTATTTACTTCTGAGAGAGAGAGAGTGCAGGTCCCAGTTTGGGGCTTCTGCGAATAAGGCTGCTGTGAAAATCTTTGCCAAAGTATTTTTGTACACATTATTTTTCACTTTGAGTGGAATGGCGGGGTCATAGACTAGGTCTGTGTTTCACTTAAGTTTACCCAGGCTTTTCATCTCCTTCTGGAGCAAGGTGTCTAATAGAAGGCCATTCCAGGGCTTTGGGGTAAGTCAGTATTGCCAGGCTACTGGGTTCTGATTCTTTTGACTTCCCCCCTCGGGTGGACAAAGTAGCTGCTGCGGCGCCGGCCATTGTCATGCTTCACACCAGTTTTTCAAGCAGGAGCAAGGAGCAGGGGCAAAAAGGTTTTTAATCTTTCCAGTGTAGAGCTCTTTTTAACCAACTGTAAAAATCTTTCCCGGGCCCACAATTTAACTGCAAAGGAAGCTGAGGGAGGAAGTTTCTGACCAGGGGCAAAGCCTACACTCCTTGTGACTCATCCTGTTGGGTGGGTACATTGTTGAATGAAACCAAATGCAGGTTATGTTGACCCAGAAGTCAGGCTGGGAGTAGCTTCGGATAATGGGCAACTTCTTGAGCCCTGTTGACCTTATCACTGGGTAGGAACGGGTAGTTTGTGCTCAGTCTGAGAGCGAAAGCCCCAGAAGGCAAACTCCGAGACGGAAGCCCCTAGAGCGGCGGTTCTCGAAGCCTGGTCCCTGGGCCGGCAGTATCCACCTCACCTGGGACTTTATTGGAAATGCACATTCCCAGGCCCCACCCCAGACCTTCTGACTGTGAAATCCAGCCCTTCCTCTAAAAGCCCTTCGGGTGATTGTGCTGTGGTCCACGTTCAAGTTGGGGAACAGCGGTGGAATCACGTGCTGTTCTCTTTGCTCCCCTCGGTCCTGCCCTTGAAGCCCGATGCTGCGGGAGGCCGTGTCCGGAGAACATAATTACTCCTTCTGTTTCTCGCTCCCACCCCTCTGCCACTTTCACTCCTTCTTGGAGTTTCCTCTGTGTTTTATAACCCAGCGTTAAGAAAAAGTGTGAAATCTTTCGAGGTAAGTGATTTTCATGTCAAGCCTGCAGCTTTACAGCTGTGTTTAGAACGGCGGTGAGCGGCAGAACGCGGGGGCCGGAATACTACACATTGGAGCGTGTCACTGCCTGTATAATGGGCTTTTAGGAACTAGACACCAGTCGCTTTATGATCAATCCAGGCTTTATAGGGCACGCTTTTATGTTGTTCAACTAATTCCATGACTTTAGAACGCTGAAGGTCGCTGAAAATAAAGATGGTGTCGATTTTCACTGCTCTTCAAGTTGCTTTTCTCTCTCTCTTCCCCAAAGGGGTGGAAGTGGGCAAGGAACCAACATTTTTTCCCTGGTCTCCTTTTTTGGCTTTGAAATAGACACAGCATGCCAGTGGGGCCGAGCTAGCGCTTACTGGGCCTTCCAGTGGAATTGAAGGAGTTGCCTCCTGTAAGAGGGCACAGGCACAGTCCCCTAGTCTCCTTTGTGTGAATTAGAAGGGAGTCCTTTCTCCAGATGGATGTTGCCCTTCTCTGGGTCTCACTGGCATGAGCAGAGCCTCGGCTGGATTTGAGGCCCCACCTTCCCGCATGCTTTCCATTTCTTTGTGCAGTGAACAACCTGCACAACCGTACATGGTGGGTTGTGTATATACATTGTATACCCAGTGTGGATCACACGCATCTATCTTGTGAATGTACGTGCTATATTAGTTTTCCTGTGGCTGTGCTGATAAATCCCGCAAACCTGGTGGCTTGAAGTAACAGAAATGTATTCCCTCACAGTTCTGGAGGCCACAAGTCCAAAGTCATGGTGTTGGCAGGGCCACCAGGGCGCTCGGAGTCGTGCCTTCTGAAAGCTCTAGGGAAGAATACTTGTTTTGCATTTCCAGCCCCTATGTCTTACCTTTTGTCTGTTAGAAGATCTCTGGTCATTGGATTTAGGGCTCACCCAGGTAATGTAGGAGGATCTCATCTCGAGATCCTTAACTACATTTGGGGGAGCCACCGTCCAGGGCGCTACAGATGGCCTTGGAAAAAATTGTAAGAGGGCAGCTTCTCGACGTTGCAGTACGTCAGGTCTGCTGTGGGGATCCGTCACTCCGTTTGCCTGTGAGACCCAAGCGTGCGGGAAATGAACTTGAGTTTTCTACACTTCAGGACGGCATCAGGGGGAAGGGGGCCTGAGCGGGTTACTGGAGGGAGGTGGGGAGCTGTGAGCACATTTCATGGAGCCTACTCTCTGGGGTTGGGATGGGGGCGGGGGGCAGGCAGTTAGCCTGGCTGGGCCCATCATGTCATTCCCGTGGGCTTGGGAGCCCGTGGGCCTGGGTTCAAATCCCGGCTCTGCCATTCTGCTGACCTTGTGACCTTGGGCAAGCTACCTAACCTTTCTGTCTGCCTCAGTTTCCTCCGCTGTGAAATGGGTACGAGCATAGTAGCGCCTACTACAAAGGATCGTTGATTTCCAAACACTGGTCTAAGAGAGGCCCCTAAGCAGGGGTGAGCCTTGGGCTTGGGCAGGTCAGGCTCGTGGCCGGTGAGGAAGGGAGTTGGCACAGAGGAGCAAGAGGCCAGGGACCCTGGCCAGTAGGAGCCAGG